CCACACAACTGCTACATAACGGAAAAGGATATCGATGAGAAAGAAACAAAGGAGCAAAATAATAGGAGCTAACAGTAGAAATTATACTTACGCTTCATGTTCCATTCCTCGGGAAACAACATCTTCTCGGCCGGGATTAAGTCAGAAGTCTTCACTCGAACGAACCTGCCCGTCTAGCCTTGATCCTTGTCCTCTTCAATGCTCGAAAACAACACTTTGGTAGCCTGGCGCTGGAGTTTTATTAACCCACCTCGATAGAGGCGGGGGCTGTACAATCTAATGAGGTGGTCGAGGGTGAAAGACATCCCCTCGACTTTGTTCACGAAAAGGCGGATCAGAATAACGATCAGCCAAAAAGAAGGATGGATTTGGCCTAGGGTTACTTGATATTGGAGGCAAAAATCGATGACAACAGGGTCGAGAGGGCCCAACGTAAAAGGGTAAGTATACACACTTAAAAATCCTTTCACATGAGTAGTAATATATTCTTCGGGAGCCGGGATTATCACTTCTTTGTCCTCCCAGTTGCAATCTTTCCTTAACTGTTTAAGATGGCCCTCGGTTATCGAGCACATATACCTTGATACTGGCTCGCATCAACTGGGGACCGAAAAAGCTTTGTCGATCTTAAAATCAGAGGTAAGAACACACCCCCCGGGAACACACTCCTCAGGTCGTGGCTCCACCGGTGTTTTGTCGTCGGCGGGCCGCGAAGAAGAAGCTTTTTCTTTTTGAGGAACAGTTTTTGATATTTTCGCCATTGGGATTTGAAGATTGAAGATAGAGGAAGATGACAAGATTTGGTGTTCTAAAAGAGGGATTTTGTAGTAAAAATCACAAATTTACAGATGAAGAACTCAGAAGATGCGAAAGGGAACTTAGAAGATTTGGAGATGTAAAAGTAAAAAATTGTAAAAAGAGGGGGCTATTTATAGGGTTGGCAATGACGGTTAAATGTCAACAATGGCCGACCATCGTCTGACACGTATTTAATGCCTTGGTAAACTGAACCAACGGGACATCTATCACATATGTCATGCTCGGGCTCGGTGCAAACGTCAGTTTGTATCGAGTCATACCATTGGAAAATCATATCGTTTCTCGCCACATTCTTTTCGAGAAATGAGGGGACTATCTGTATACAGTCAAAATCGGTTTCGACCTTCGTATGATTGGTCAAGATTGGAACATAATAGACCGAAGGCCATCTTCATAATATCGAGTATGAGATCTGAAGTCAGGTTACCGAGCTCAAATTACTGGGACCTATCGAATGCCGATCTCGAACTCATTACCGATCTCGAGTCCAAATCGAACTATGATGTGAGGTAGTGTCATCGAGCCAAAGAGCCAGAGACCGACCAATATCGAGCCCGAGTCGACATCGAGCCTCGAGTTAATATCGAGCTATAAATCTGGAAATCGACCAATACCAAATCCAATCAAGATCGAGCCAAGAGACAAGAGTCGTTACGGCCGTACTGAGGGAGAGAATCTCGGCGGGAATTAGGGAAAAACTACTCTATCATGGGTTCCTCACTATGTATTTTTAATTATATTCAAAGTAGGATCCCTCCACTATAAGAGGGATGGCTATTATTTCTGTAAGGAGATCGGACATCAAGGCATTCATACACTCTCATATTATTGATATTCACAGAGAAAAACATACTGATATTCATATAGAGATTATCCCTTTTTGGGCTTAGTACATTGATTCATCTTGTTTGTTCATAAAATATTTTCCACTCAGTTTGGTTTGTATTTCATTCTTTATACAGTCAATACTCAATATATTTCTACTTACTTTCTGATTTGTGCCAAGTTATAGCACGTATCCTTAGAACTACGTATAAATTCAATTCTATCCGGTTTTTGGATAAACATCTTCAAAATGAGGTAAATCATACAACTACTGAACATATCTGAAGATGAGTTTGGACTCCCAACTGATGGCCCTATTACATTACAATGTGATGCCGCCTTCATGAACTATATCATAACACTCATCAGAAGAGGAGTATCTGTAGATCTTCAGAATGCTTTGCTTGTATCAGTTGCTTCCAGTCGATTTATATCTGCTTCGTGCCTACGGGACCAAAGAAACACACAATTGCTAGTTTATTGAGCTGACCTTGATTAGTTTTGTAATGGATTCATGATATCCAACAATTGTACAGCATATTAACATCTAATTATTTTTCCAAACTCTAGATTCTTTTCTCTGAACCGTTTAGTTCTCTGATTATTTAGGAGAATCTGATCTCTTTTCATTTCCTCCTAATAGTCTTACAAATTTAAAGGAACTCCGTTTATAGTGATAATATAACAACGAACAACAGCGAAGTATGATTAAATTTTATTTAGTCAATTCATTTTGGCCTCAAAAGTATTCAAAAAACAAGACAGTAACATTTCTGCAGCAGGATCTCGTTAAGTTACAATAACAGCAACCTTGGATTAAAAATTTATCTTCCACCCCTTCGCCAACTCCCCACTCTTCTATCTCGGAGAACATTCATTATTATTCTGGGAATTGTCTGATAAAACTATTGATGTTTCTTCTCTGAGCACTGACATGCCTAATGATAGATAATGGATTTACTGTTGATTTTCAAGATTTAAATACAAAAAAAAAAAAAAAAAAAAAAAAAAAATCCCCTGGCGAGGAGATCCTCTCAGAACGTTATGGACAGGCAAGAAAAACATTTCAGAACTTCAACCTCCACCAGTAGCATTGCATCTTTCAGCAGGGATCCGGATAAGATGACTGAAAATTTGACAAGGCCAATGGTCTGAATAACTACTACTACTACACCTACTACCTACTACTTGTTGCTCCCAAACGCACACGCAAGTATACATGGTCGTACAAGTAATATATGATTATGTCCATATATCATACCCACCGGGACTTTGTGATTAACTATTTACTAAATTAAACTAAGACAATTAATTTATTCAAGCCATTTTCTAAAGATTATTAACTACAACTAATCTAGAGTCGAAAACTAAGAAATTAAAGAAAATACGTCGGTAAGCTTAAATTCAAATTCAATGAGAGACAATATTCTAGAGCTATGGGTTAGCTAACAACCCCGTTGAGTTTTTTAGTTTAATTGTCTAATTAATTTATGTGGTTTATTGATTGACAGAGTTAATATTAGTTGTAGTATTCTCCCGAAGTACTACTCGCTTATTCAAGCTAATCTAATGCCTATATTCCTATGGAATTAGGATTAACAATAACACATTAATAATTCTCGTATAGTAACCAAGCAAGACGATTAGGTATATCCATATCCTAACCGCAAATCCGTTCCCGATACTCATGTTTAAGATCTCGCTCTACTCAATCTTATATGCAATCTAAAATTCCCTCTCTCGAGTTCAATCCTAGATTGGTAAATAGTATTCAATTGGTGATCAAGCAATCGAATAATTAAGCGCAAGATTGAATAAATAAACCAATATAATAAAATAATAAAAATAATTCAAACTTCAACGTTAATGTAGCACCCACAACTTTAGAACTAATGAACTATGAGATGGAAGAAAAGAGAAGAAAAACTAGTTAAAAGTCTCCTCCAAGTGTGGTCTGCGTTCCCGTGAGTGAATTCGCCTTCAAAGTGGCGTCCTCCTCTCCAAAGTAGGTTTAGACTACTTTTTATACGAGTTGGGGGTGTGTAGGGCTGAAAAACCCTGTCCCGAGCAAGGTGGGAAAAAATTCTGTCACCTAGCGTTCAGGATAGCGCGTCATGCTAGCCCTGGCGCTGGCCTTGGCCAAAAAAAATTCGAGTCTGTTATTTGCGCCACGGGTAGCGCGATGCACTACTCTGGGCGCTACACTGGCCCATTTTTTTTTTTGGTTCTCTTTTTGCTTCAACTCGTGCACTTTTGTCCCACGTTGCCTCCGGGTGACTCCTACCCATAAAAATACCACGAATTAGAATAAATTATTACATTACACATTCGAAATCCACGGAATATGAGTAAAATGTGAGGCAATATGCATATAAATATACATACGATAAGCCGAATATCACTACTACGCCTCAGTTCCAATCTAGTTAGGGTAGGCTATATGAATCCCCATTATTCATGTGCTCCATTTAGACCCTCTATATCCAATCTAATTATTTGACCTTTGAATTATGCATGCCATATATGGATTACAACTTACAACTTTCCAGAACGAAAAAGTAGTTCTGGCTGCAGGCTGCAAGCTGCTAATTTGACTTAACAAATACGTAAACTACCTAAGTTTGGTTTCAAATCTTTGCAAGGCGTGCACCTAGCATATCCAGCTTATGGCTTTCACAGTAAATGGATAAGATGATGATATGACTAATTCAAATGAAAGTAATATCAAAAGCTTCATTAAACCATTTTTACAATCAAATGGTTAAGGTTCATCTCTTTCCTATTGATGAAAGGCTTATTTTGGTCATAAAAAGAATGCTTATTTTTTTACTTGAATGAACAAACTCCAAAAGATGTTGGCAAAGAAAGGCAGAATATAACAAACTAACCTTCATTGTCCCTGTATAACTTCCATGCAGCCGTAATATCAATTTGAACATTGCTATCTACACGACCAAGCAGGCAGTACCACATGGTATCGCCTTTCACCAGCAAAACATAATATACCACTCTAAAATCCACTCTTCATTTAAAGGTCATAAACTATTGGCACTAATACATCCATTCTTTGTCGACCAATGTGGAAGAAAGGAAGAAACTTACTAACTAGCTCCAACCACAAATTTATGGCCCCATATCAGCCTGGCCAACAAGCATCACCACATGGCTTTGCCTAATTCAGAGATTAGTGGCTAAAGCTTCAGCTCTAACTGAAAGACTCTCTCCAGCCTCTTGTATAAATAGCACCCCTTCCATGAGCCTTTTCATCATCAACTACAACATTATCTACTCAGTTATCAAAGGTCTCTAGATATCCACTTAACTTTCTTGTTTCCAATCTTCCGGAGAAAAGAACAATGCTCAGTGCTAAGAAACTCATCAAGATGGCCAGGAAATGGCAGAAGTTTGCACGCATGCAGAGGAAGAGGATTTCACTTCCGAGAAATGGCAATGATGTAGACGGTTGTAGTACATCTTCATCCTTTATAGCCGGAAAAGGACAGTTTGTAGTGTATACAACTGATAAAAGGCGCTTTGTGATTCCATTGGCTTATCTGGAAAATGAGGTCATTTTGCAACTTTTAAATATGTCTGAAGAAGAGTTTGGGCTGCCCAGTGGCGGCCCTATTACATTACTGTGTAATTCAGCCTTCATGGAGTACATCATTTCACTAATCAAGAAAGATGCAGCTGCTGGAGATCTTCGTAAAGCATTGCTCCTCTCAGTTAATTCATGTTGCTGTTCAACTTCTTTGCACCAAGAATGGGGAAATCAGCAGCTCCTTGTTTATTAGTCATTATCATTATGTTTTGTAAATGATTGCTCAAAATTGATGTATTGCAAGTGAAAAAGTAGGCAATTGAAAGTCTGTGTTACAGATGGAATAGAACTTTATCTGATACTTAACCAGATTCGTACCTTTCAATTTTCAACTTGGTGATTGAGAACTTTCAGATTCTCATCTTGGTGTTTGAGAACTTTCAGATTCTCATTTACAGGAAACACTTATTTTTTATCCGAATAGTCAACTTTGTTGATCAAAACTTACAGACATATGAATCATGTCCATGCAACTATTGATGACATGAAAACTAACTTGAAAGAGTTCAAATGAAGTGAAATACACTGCAATTAAATCTCATACTTGATCAATTTAGATTGAAAATAAAGCCACTGTTTACACAACTAACCGGAATGCAATAACAAAGCTCGATAGTTCACTTTGTTCTTACATCATACTTACCTTATTACCACATGCATTTTAGTTTCTGATAATAGGTCGTTCATATCCGTATATATAGTGGTGAAGGTTGTTGTACATTATCTTTCAGGCACAGATGTTACTGAGTCTAGTTAGAGGCTTCTTTGTTGTTAAGCATATCGATTAATCCTCCGAGTTCTCCTCAGCCTATTAAACTAATGCCAGATCTTCAGAGATGCTGGTGACATGATTAAATATATATCAAGACATGATATATATATTTACCTTCCCTACCTGATAGAGATGTCAACTCCAGCTACAACTCAAAGTCATTATGTACCCTCAAATAGCCATTGTCACAATTTAAAGGTTCCCTATCTACATGACAAAGCAGTCAGCAAAACATGGTTTTGCCTTTCACCAGCAAAACATAAATCTATCACTGAAATTTCAATTATTCATTTAAAGATCTCAAACTATTGGCACTTATCTTCCTTTTAGTTTGTTATTATATCTGGTACTTAGCAACCTCGTCCATTGATTTTGAAACTTGCTACTGGAAATTATCGCTCCCTGATTGTTAGTATTTGATGCTACTCTTTCTCCCTTTTACCAGAAATTGTTGCTCCCTTATTTGTTACTATCTGATGCTATTTTTTCTCCTCTTTTTCTTTATCGTTTTTTGTCTCCCTCGTCTTCCCCCCCCCCNTTTCACCTTTTTTCTTTGTTTTTCACCTTCTTCTTCATTTTTTAACCTTTTTTCTTCCGTTCTCCATATGGGTTTGATACTACTTTTTACTATCTGATACTACTCTTTTTCCTTATCGTCTTTTGTCTCCCTCGTCTATCTTTCTCCCTCCTCTTTCTTCTGCTTCTTTTTTTCCTTTTCTTCTTTTCCACCTTATCTTGAGCCGAGGGTCTATCGGAAATAGCCTCTCTACCTCTCCAGGTAGGGGTAAGGTCTGCGTACACACTACCCTCCCCAGGCTCCACTTGTGGGATTATACTGAGCATGTTGTTGTTGTTGTAAACTATTGGCACTTATGAGAATCCTAGATATGAGTTGATATCATAATTAACACATCCATTCTGTTATAGAGCATAGTAAAGAATGGAAGAAACTTTTGCATCTCCCATAAATCTAAACTAGCTTCGTCCACAAATTTATGGCCCCATATCAACATGGCCAACAGGCATCAGCACATGGCTTTGCCATTGGTGGTTAGTGGTAAACACTTCAGCTCCAATCTATTATATAAATAATCCCCCTTCCTTGAACAATTTCATCATCAACTACAAGCATTATCTATTCAGCCGTCAAAGGTATCTAGATATCTACTTTACTTTCTTGTTTCCAATCTTCCAGAGAAAAGAACAATGCTCAGTGCTAAGAAACTCATCAAGATGGCCAGGAGATGGCAGAAGTTTGCAGCCATGCAGAGGAAGAGGATTCGACTTCCAAGAAATGGAAATGATGCAGACAGTTGTAGCACATCTTCATCTTTTACAGCCGGTAAAGGCCAGTTTGTAGTGTATACAACTGATCAAAGGCGCTTTGTGATTCCATTGGCTTACCTTGAAAATGAGGTCATTTTGCAACTTTTGAACATGTCTGAAGAAGAGTTTGGGTTGCCAAGTGGCGGTCCTATTACATTACCATGTGATTCTGCTTTCATGGACTACATCATTTCACTAATCAAGAAAGGTGCAGCTGCTGGAGATCTTTGTAAAGCATTGCTCCTCTCAGTTACTTCATGTTGTTGTTCAACTTCTTCTTTGCACCAAAATTGGGGAAACCAGCAGCTTCTTGTTTATTGAGTCATGATCATTATCTTTAGTAAATGATAAATCAAAACAGATTGTATAGCAGGCGAAAACTAGGCCATTCAAAAAGTGTATTATAGATGGAATAGAGCTTTATCTGAAATCTAGCCAGATTTATAGATCTCAAACTTTCAATACGATGATTGCGAACTTCTAGCATTCTCATTTTGGACTGATGTAATGTACATGACACTTATTTTTTTATGCCAGTAGTCAACACTGTGGATTAAAACTATATGAATCATTCCCACACAAGTAGTTAAATCATAAAAGTGATCCCCTTTAACTGCAGTTAACTCTCATACTTGATCAATCATAGATTGAAAATGAAGCTGCAGATTCCACCAAGTTTCGTCGCAAAGCTGCTGGTTGTCACAGTTTATATTAAGACATTGAATGTGCAATTCCAAATAAGCTCATAACTCTGATGTAAATAAACCATTATCTGGACCCGTGGTCAGAAAAAACACCTAACAGAAACAAGTGGTCTTAGCAAGTTGGACTAAGAAATGAAAATCCAGTATGATTACTTTGCATGGTGCATGTCTGTTGGCTCACAAGATCATAGTTCTACAATATGCTTAGATGGAAATGAAGAGTATAGCAAGCCTCAAATTCAAATAAACTTATGAGCCACTGGTATTATGGTACATTCATTTAGGTCTCTCTTTCTTTTTTTACCTTTTTTTAATATATCTCTCCATAGGACAAAAATCATTACAAGTATTTATCTACCCTGCAGGTCGCGCACCTGGCGTATCTGTCTTGTGGCTTTTACAATTAAATGGATAAGGTAATGCTATGACAAACTCAGAAGAAAGTTATGCAAATAGCTGCATAAAACCATTTTTACTATCAAATGGATAACGTTCATCTCATTCATGTTGATGACGGCTTATTTTGGTCATAAAAAGATTGCTTATTTAGAACAAATTCTTGTTTTTGCATTATCATTAAGGTAACCAACAGCTGGCACTGGAATGGATAAGCCCCAAAAGATATTGGCCAAAGAAAAGCAGAACCAGAACAAACTTAATCCTTCTTTGTAGTCTTTATAGCCCAACCTGTTGGTCTGCTAGAAGATTCAGAATTTTAATTATAGTAAGAGTTTAGTAATTTAGTTATAGGAGGAGTTTACTACTTTATTTATTTGGCTATTTAAAGCCCTATGATTAATAAAATTTTAGAGACAATTTTTTTAATCCTATTTTCAACCTTCTTGTTGCTTGCATATTTTTTCTAAAATCCATAACACAACCGGTCATTGTCGCAATTTAAATGTTCCTTATTTACATGACCAAGAAGGCGGCATCACATGGTTTTGCCTTTCACCAGCAAAACAGAAATCTACCACTGAAAAATCAATTCTTCATTTAAAGGTTCTCTAACTATTGGCACATATGAGAAGTCATACATAAGAGTTGATATCAGAACTAATATGTCCATTCTGGTGTCAACCAAAGTGGAAAAGGAAGAAACTTATCATCTTACATGAATTCAACTAGCTTCATCCATAAATTTGAGGCCCCATAAACAGGCATCAGCACATGGTTTTGTCTAATCCAGTGGTTAGTGGCAAAAACTTCAGATCCAACTCAACTACTGTTTCCAGCCTCTTGTATAAATAATACCCCTTCCATGAGCCTTTTCAGCATCAACCACGAACATATTGATTCAGCCGTCAAAGGTCTATAGATATATACCTGCTTTACCTTCTTGTGTTCCAATCTTCCGGAGAAAAGAACGATGGTCAGTGTTAAGAAACTCATAAAGATGGCAAGGAGATGGCAGAAGTTTGCGGCCATGCAGAGGAAGAGGATTTCACTTCCAAGAAATGGCAATGCTGCAGACAGTTGTAGTACATATTCTTCCTTTATAGCAGGAAAAGGCCAGTTTGTAGTATATACAACTGATCAAAGGCGCTTTGTGATTCCATTGGCTTATCTAGAAAATGAGGTCATTTTGCAACTTTTAAACATGTCTGAGGAAGAGTTCGGGCTGCCAAGTGGAGGCCCTATTACATTACCGTGTGATTCAGTCTTCCTGGACTACATCATTTCACTAATCAAGAAAGGTGCAGCTGCTGGAGATCTTCACAAAGCATTGCTCCTCTCAGTTACTTCATGTTGTTGTTCAACTTCTTCTTTACACAAAGAATGGGGAAACCAGCAGCTTCTTGTTTATTGAGTCGTGATCATTATCTTTAGTAAATGATAGATCAAAACAGATTGTATAGTAGATGAAAAGTAGGCACATGAAAGTATGTAGATGCAATAGAGTTTTATCTGAATCTAACCAGATTTATTGCTTTCAATTTACTGATTGAGGACTTTTAGATTCATCTTAGTCTGGCACTATTTACAGGAATACACTTATTTTTTATCCGAATAGTCAACTTTGTCGATCAAGACTTTCAGATATACGAATAATGTCCACGCAAGTCTTGCTAACATGAAAATTAACTCAAAAGAGGAAATGAAGTGAAATAGTAGAAGTGTTCCCCTTTAACTACAGCAAAATCTCATACTTGATAGCACTAGATTGAAAAGGAAGCTGCAGATCGCAACAATCATTTGGAATGTTATAAAAAAGCTCAATCGTTGACTTTGGTCATGCCACATACTTATTCCATCTCCACTTGGATTGTAGTTTCTATCAACAAGTCATTCATATCCAAATGTATAATGATGAAGACCTTCAGGCATTATCTATCTTTAGATACACACTGAAACAAAATATGGAAACAAGCTCTCTTCTGTCTATTTTTCTGGTTTGTTCTAGTGTTGCTTTTCATCCTCTTGAGCCGAAGGTTTATCGGAAACAACCACTCTACTTTACAAGGGTAGGAGAAAGGCTTGCGTACGCACTACCCTACCAAGACCCCACTTGTGGGACTTCACTAGGTTTGTTATTGTTGTCGTTGTTGTTGTTCTAATGTATTATATACATTGGTCGACTTAGGAACTTTGTATAATGAGGCAGTTCAATGTACAACCACATAGGGCAGGGGATGAGAGCTGTAAATAATTCTAGTTTCTGCAGCCAATAATTAATTATACAAAGGATGCAGATAGCCATGATTCTATAGGACTATTTTATCTGTCTATTAGAGTGAAAAGAAAGAAATTTTTGAAAAATTGGATGTGCGTTTATAATAAGTAATGTCATAAGACATCCTGAAATTTACTTGTGAAAAGATTGGGAAAGCTTTTGGTAAGTCCAACTACAACAACAATACCACATGTAGCACACATGAAATTGCCTTCATACTGACTGACAAGCATTTGGTAATGTTGTTTATCAGGCCAAATTATTTTGAGACAGAAGGCCCTACACCTTTTATCATAACCTTGGGTATTAGCTCTCCTAACTTGTCCAAAAGAATTGAATTTTGACCAATAATGTCTTCTTTCTACCAAAGAGAATACAGAGAAACATATCATCTATGATTCAAACTAGCTTTATCCACAAGCTAAATGACCCCATATCAAACATTACCAGCAGACATCACCACATGGTTTTGCCTTTTGGCGAATAATAGCAAAATCTTCAGCTGCAACTCAAAGCCTATCTAAGGCCTCCAGTATAAATAATCCTCTTTATGGAACTTCTAATTATCCAAGCTTCAAAGTTTTCAATTATATCTACTTTACTGTCAAACAATGCTCAGTGCTAAGAAACTCATGAAGATGGCCAGAAAATGGCAGAAGTTTACAGCCATTCAAAGGAAGAGGATATCACTTCCAAGAAATGGCAATGATGCAGACTACAGTACAACATTATCATCTATAGTTGAGAAAGGCCATTTTGTAGTGTACACAGCTGATCAAAGGCGCTTTGCGATTCCATTATCTTATCTGGAAAATGAGGTCATTAGGCAACTCTTGGAAATGTCTGAAGAAGAGTTTGGGCTGCTTAGTTGTGGACCTATTACATTGCCATGTGATTCACTTTTCATGGATTACATCATTTTGCTAATCAAGAAAGGAGCAGCAGCTGGAGATCTTCACAAAGCATTGCTCCTCTCAATCACTTCATGTTGCAGATTAACATCTTTACAACCCCAATGGGAAAACCAGCAGCTACTTGTCTATTGAGCCATTATCAACATCTTTTTTCTTCATATATGATAGCTCAAATAGTTTTGTAGAATAGGCGAAGAGTATAATAAATGTAAAGTGCATCATACATATTGAATATATATTCATCAAGAACTTCACTGTTTCAATTTTCATCAATCGGGTGCTACAGTGCAATGCACAACCACAAAAATCTGCTTAACCCAAGCTAACCCCAAGAACATGACTAATTTTTTCCATAGTACAAGTAAATTTTTTGAAACCAACCAAAACCTAATTTCAACTATTCAAGTCCAAGGATGATCAAGATCCTAATTTTTCCTACTTTTACAGGCAGCTGTGTAGAAGTAAATGTTCTCCCGCTGCTCAATTGCTGTGTATTTACCTCTATTGTTTCCATTAAAACGAACAAAGATGGTGCTTCCATCACGTGATTTAGGCGTTGTTACTACCTCCTCTCCTTTGAACTGGTTTGTAAAGCACTACAGTAACATACTTCGAGCGAAAGCGATGTGTTACCCCGAGCGCCACAACTGATCTCGGAGCTTCTCTGTTCTCGATATAGAGATGGTTTAAAACCACATTTTGTGGCGAGGGGAGGGATGCAGATTGATCTCTAGTCGCTCGGTGGTTTAACAAGGTATGGTGCAGATGTAACGGGAGCATTGGCGGTTCCCGTCCTTCATCTTCGTTCCCAGGATACACGTTGTTGTAACTTGCATCGGGTGATCTTGAAACTTCGAAACCTATCACAGTGGCTTCATCCTGTGTGCATAACTTAGAATTAAACATAGTTTAAGAATTAGTGGTACAATTACTAACAGGAAATTTGCAACTTACCTGATCTTCACCATATTGATGTGGTTGATTCATGTTTACTTCAACGACGAGTAGCGCAAACCACCTAAGATGGTAAAAGCTGTGCACAGAGGAATCGATAACCTGAAAAAAAAGAAGAGATGGAACCTTTAGTTTGAAATGATTCAAAGCCTTAAATTAATAACTATTCAGGTGTCATCCACTCATTAAAGCAGGAGCATATATTTTAAAAGGCTAAATATAATAAGCTTACCAAATGGAAAATAATGATATATACAAATTAGATAAAACACTAAACAGATACTCAAAAAAAAGATATCCTAAATGGAAACCAAGAACAATTACGCAGTTCAGATGAACAAAGACATGATACATTATGTTCCTGGTTATACATGGCACCTGCAATGGAAGAGAATGACCTTGTTCAATGACGGTTTGAAACTAAGATGACTAGCTTCATGGATTCAAGCAATTCTTTTCTACTGTAAAAGCTTCTCATAAATGTTTAAAAAAACATCCTAATCCTATCAAACTTCGAATCCAATGAAGGTATTCCCTTGGCAGAAACCTTCATGCAAGATCTATAGAGCTATCCTCCCGAAACATGTCAAGTTCAAATGGACATCAAATGATTGCGACTATGAAGTTATATTGGAGAAAGCGCTTCATTGCTTACAAGAGGTCAAAACTACAGAGTCTCAGCTGCTCTTAATTAATACGAGCACTTGAAACACACTGAATATGGAAGAAATTATCGACTTCCACTAAAAGCGCAGATGCCAATACACCCTAAATGAGTAACCAAGAGAGAGAGAGAGAGATAAAAAGAGTTTCACGGGACACAACAACACAGAACTAAAATCTTTTGGTATCATAGACATAAGAAATAATGGCGCACACTAACCCACTTTGTCCTTAAAACAATTGAACAAGATCCTTCAAGCTGGCACGCACTTATCCACCAAAGTTCCTACACAGGACTCACATTCTCCTACCTTAAACTCCAATATAGGAAATATCCACCAAAGTTCTAACTCTGCCATCACAAAGAACTCCTCCAAGCATAGGCAACAAACTAAACACCCTGCCTCCAAATGATATATGTGCTTAAGCTAAGGGGATCATTTAGTGGTTATGGGTCAAATCTAAGCCCGTCGGTATCAAAATCAGACTCCAGATCCTCCAGCTCCTTGTGAACAAACTATTCATTCTAATATTTACAGCAAATGAGAAGATGCAGGAAGGAAGAAAGAAAAGGGAAAAAGAACAATATGAAATCGTGCTTTATATCAATAAGAAACCTTAGTGAAATCATTCTACTGAATGATCTTTACTACACTACATCCTGTTTCAACAAATCAAACATAAAACTGAAGGTTCTGAAACCACCTCACTTTCTCCCTCCTTGGGGACAAGCTAAGGCAGCAAAGAGAAAAAGGGCTTCTTTTATTATTATTTTTTTTTGGGNATAGAGAACCAGATTCTCGTTAAGTTCCCACTGTAAGCAACAGACTGTAAAACCAACCATTATAGGGAATCAGGTTCTCTAATTATTCCCACAGTAGATGTGGGGGGGAAGAAACAGAAAATAACATTACATCATTCTGCATATCAATGAGAAACCACTCTGAAATCATTTTGCTGAACAAATTCAACTACATTACCTCCTATACAAAACTTAAACTCATATAAACTTTCTTTTAACTTTATCTTGAAAATGGTAAGCATGCGCTCCAATAGCATTCTCCATGTTCTAGAAGCAGAATAAGGAAACAAATCCATGAAAAAGGTAGGCCCCACCTTAAAACTACAATTCACATAAATATCCTCTCTCTCAGCTGCCAAAATATTAGCAGTAACAAGTTTCCAAAATATTGGAAACATAAATGAGAAATTTAGAGCTTAAAACATGAGAATTATGAATTCCTTGACCATTAAAAAGGAAAACTTCCTTGCCCTTCATTTTGTTCCTGGAGGTGCAATATATACATAATCTGGAAAGCTAATCCGCCTAATCAAGGTAGATTAAGTCCAGTAGACCTCTGGTTCCCAGTATCCCCACCCAAAGTAGGCATTTTTCACTGCAATATCTTTAGATTAGGTGTAACATCGGTGCAACTCTTGAAACTGATATCACGCTCTCAAATAGCAACGTTATATAATCCCAATATGGAAATTCCTCTACCGACCAGACAATTATAAGCTTGACCAAAAATATGAAAAGACCCATAAAGAAACTTTCGGCCATATTTATAATATATATGGTATTTCATATATCAAAAACCCAAACAATGATGAATGAAACAATCCACAGCAATGAATCACAATCCATGCACGATAATAAAACTTTCTATGTGTATTAAATAATGATATATATGGTATTTCAAAACCCAAACGATGATGAATGAAACACTCCACAACAATGAAGGATAATCCATGTATGATTATAAAATTGCAAGGGCCCCCATTCTATCTATAATAAATTTTCAATCAAAAGTTTCAATTATGATATGACTACAAATACCTAATTTGTTTGACTCTATCTGGTCTCCATTCTTCTCAAAAGTAAAATAATGACGAGGAAAGGACGAATTTCTATGAAAATATAACTAATAACAGTAGCTTCCAGTAATTGTGCAAATGAGAAAAGGTTACCTCTTTATGACACTTGAAAATTTCTAGTGATCATAAGTAGCTACGCTAAATCATAAAATGTCTAGAAGATCTCTTCACATTTACAAAGATAAGTTCACAAGTCCAAATTAGAAAACCCCAGAACTCCTAGAGAGAGAGAGAGAGAGAGAGAGAGAGAGAGGGGGGGAGAGAGAGAGAGAGAGAGCAAACTATTATTAAACTGCATGAAAAGCATTCTAGTTTAGCATAGCAACATGTATTCTTATGCAGTACTCAGCGAAAGACTCTCACCGCTTGATTGAATTGCCTCTAACCAAGGCTTTTTGATCCAATCCAATCAATATATTTCTTGTTAATTCTCTATGAAGCACATATACCCCTTTTCCACCTTTTCACTTCTCTCTTCCTCTTTTGCTCTCTACCTCTTTCTTCTTCAAAAAAAACTTTGGGACATATATAACATCATTCTTTTCCACGATCTTGCCACCACTATCATGGCCACTTTTGTACTCTTTTCGGTACTTTTCTTGGCCATCACTGGTCATTCAAGTAAGCTTTTCTTTGTAATCCTATTGAATTTGAGCTTCAAATTATTTTCTTGATCAATACTTGAAGAATCTGGCTTTTTGAGTTGATTTTTTTTTAATTTAATTTGTGGCTATCTTTTGTGTTTAATTGGGTGGTCGTCCTCACAAAGTTTTCTCTCTCTTTCCCTTCTAAACGTTTCTGACTGCCTAACGTTCTAATCCCCCCCCCCC